GTATTTATTGCGTTTGTTTGTTCAGGAAGTTGTTATTATTATTATTATTATTATTATTATAGTAGGAGAACTACTAGACATTTTTGGGTAGGTATTTGAGGCACGCTGCAAACTGGACTAACACTTCTCCAATATAATACCCAAACACAGAAATGCAGACCTGGCTGAGGAGTAGCAGGGCCAACACTTTGCCTTTAAAAATAATTTAAATTTTGAGCTCTTACGAGTCTTGTACATGTACTTCAGTACGTTTTGTTCAAGGCAAAAAATGAAGAATTTTTTGGCGAGGAATCCTCAAATTGCACGAGAAATGGGAAAAATGCTCCACAAAAATTAAAAAAATGCGCTACTGTCAGTCTGTTCACCCCTGGTCCGTCCCTGGCGGCTGTGCTGTGTTGAGCCTTAACAATCCAAAATTAGTAATGTTCACGTCGCCCCCTGGACGTTGGTCCAGTTCAGGAAAACGATCCAGAGACGACCTCCTTGGAAAGGTGTCGTCCCGCAGGAAATCTTAGGGAACCTAAATAGTGTAGTCATTGTTTTTTTTGCATACCGGCATTTATAGAGACAAACCAATTTTAATATTACAATACACCGTTTTATTTATTTTTAATTAGCTATTCGCCCATGCCAAAATCCTCACACATCAATCATTGAATCCCCATGTGCATTAATTAATTTTAACCAGTAGGTGGAGCACTGTTCTTAACACCGATTAAATGGCCAGGCCAGTGCAATGGATTTAAAACATTATTTGATGCATAGTGATTTACTATCTTTTGATGAGAATCATTTCCATTCACATACTTTAACAAAATTGTTTGCTTAGCGCTTGGTTTATTCAATGGCTTTGGACAACGGAACAATATAATAGCCGACTATACGTATACAATTTTTAAACTCCATTTTAGCTTAAGAAAGTCATAACGTAGCACTTTACATCACGTGAGGTTTTTTAGGCTCTTTCTATTTCTGCTTTGGCGTTTCGATTAGGATGTCTTGTCTTTTCCCGCATACCTACCTATAACCCGATAATCGCCGTGTAATATTTATTTGCTAGCGACGGATGCGCCTCAAATGAATCTGGTAAAAAAACTAATGCAATAAAAAAAATGTTGTCAACTTTAACGAAAACAGCGAATAAGGTAGGAGCCATTTCAATATTGCGAATTTGTAGCACACATTCCAGAACTTTCGGAATTTTCCACCTTCATACCACACAGTTTGAAGTGTTTAATAATGAATAAGTAATGAATGAAACCGTAAAATAGAGGAGGAATCGAGACATAAATAATTTATAAAATCCCAATAAGTGGAAATTAGTTGTTTGATGTCACATTGAGTACCTACACCGAAATCCACTATCTCTACAAGGACTTTAAATGCAGGGGGTGGATTGCTGCGAATAGTGCGAGATATATTAAAAAAAGAAGCTTTTACCTACAGTTTGCACATAAAATTGTCTAAGTACTATGAAATTCAAGCTAAAATTTTTAATTAAGTTTCTAGTTTGTTGGTAAATTAATTATAAAAGCCAGTGATACCGCAAAATTGATCCTGCGTTTCATCAATACCCCTTGTAAATGTTTGCAGCTATTAAATTAATCCTGCTTTAAATTCAGGGGATATTGTTACAGGTTTGTGTCTATGACAAAAGGGAGCAATACAATAGATATAAACTACGAAAGTCGGCTAGATTATGGAAAGCAAATCCATCGTGCTATGCTTTGAGAACGGATGAGTAAAATACATTGCAAGGTTTTTAAAATCGTAACCAATTTCGCAGCCTCTTTCTCATACGGTTGTGCAGACTGAGAGCTTAGTTTATTCCTCGAAAGACAATCTAGAATACCCATTACAGATTTTCAGCAAGCGTCAAAGTAGAAAATGTATATTTACTATGCATGCCTGAAGGGCATGGCATGGGCATTATCACTGCACTTGTTTACAGAGATAGTAAACACAGATCGTGTAATTGAAGGGGATATTTACCTTCCGCTTAGTCTGGCTTACAGTTGCACTTTCACACGACAAAGTAGAAAGTAGTTGTAATCTACGCCCCCATTTTCCGAGGGTTGATAGTTAATAAAGTTTACAGAACCGAATTTCGGTTTGATAAAAACGAGTAACGTAAATTTTATTGTTAGCCCAATAACAACACTTACACTTACGTTACGTATTAGATACATGGCACCTGCGGTGATTCTACTACTGTGAAGTGTTCTATGGATATTGGAATTTTAATCAAGAGGCTACTTATATTATCGCTCAAGGTTCACGAAAAAGACAGAGAATAGACTGGTATCCGAGATTGTGAACGTATAAAGTCCCTACGTCTGTTATGAGGGTTATGTAGAGATATGTCGAATTTACAAATATTGTAATAATGGCTCGACGACCCACTTCAATTTGAGTTTTTGGAAAAAAAACTATTAAAAGACCCAAATTTGTATAGGGTCTCTGGGAATTATGGATACAGATTCTGTGGCAAAAAATATCCATTAAATATCGAACCAAGTTAAGATGATATTTACCAAAATTCTAAATAAAACAAGCATTGCGATTGCCATCGTTATTGTTCCCCAAATACAAGAGAGGAAACCACTACAATACAATAAAAGGTATTCTATGTCATTCGAGGCGAAGTTCAGCCTAAGGCTGCTCTTGCACTTAACCTGGCTATCTACAAACGATATACAGGGTGGTGACTTGCGTGACGCATCATAGGGATTTCAATGTAAAATTCATAACATGTTATTATTGGCTCCCCAAATTATTTTAGAGCAAAAATGTATTCAAGTTTTTTGTAGAAAAAATTTTTTACGTCAATCAACCGTATTAGTTTTCAATTTTTTTCATATAAAGACGGAAAATTGGAAAAATAAAACCCGCATGTTTTTCAATAATCTGCGATGCCATGGAATTTTCTAAAACAAAAAGATATCCAGTTATCAATTAGCAGCAGTTCGAAATGGATTTTATGATCGACTTGGTTACTGTCTTGCAGTTAATGGTGACTTATTCGAACATTATATTAGAAAATCGTTTTTAGTAATTTGGCCTTTCTTTATGTTGAATTCGCTGTTCTAATATAATAATTTTTGATAGAATTTGATTTGTTTTATACCTAGCAGATATTCCATGGCATGACGGATAATGGCGTAGTTTTTGTATTATAAAATTCCATGGCATCACAGATTATTGAAAAAGGTGCGGGGTTTATTTTTCCAATTTTCCGTCTTTATTATGCAAAACATTGAAAACTAATACGATTGATTGGCGTAAAAAAATTTTTTTCTACAAAAAACCTTAATACATTTTTGCTCTAAAATAATTTGGGGAGCCAATAATCGCATGTTATGAATTTCACATTGAAATCCCTATGATGCGTTACGCAAGTCACCACCCTGTATGTATGTACAATGGAATCCACATAAAAATGGTCAGGTAAAACAAAGAGTACCTACGACAATAAACAAATAAAGAATGTGAGTCAGATGTATTCAGGTAAAACAATTTATCGGGGAAACAAAAACTAAAGAAGCATGGGATGTGATCAAACACCCGCGGAAGGAGAAGAAAAGAGGAAGGATTGACTTCATCATCAATCAAGATAAGTGAATGGCAACAGAATCAATTTAGAACACTTAAACAAACGCCACACTGTAGACAAAGTACAAGAGATAACTGCCGAAGAAGTACAAAAAGCTGAAAAACAGGTGAAGAAAGCTCCTGGGTCCTGTGGAATTTATAAAATACGTAACTACAAGGGCTCATAATATATTAAGATAGGTACATACAGGGTTTCTTTTGAGAACACAAAAAAGTTTCAAATAAAGGTTTTAGTATTTTATCTGTACCGACTAAAAATGTAGTAATTGCAGATTGAATTCAACATACAGGAAGTTTTCAACAACATACGTTTTCAATATGTTTAATGGGACATCCTGTAATATTGTATAACATTAGTTTCAATATTTATAAAAAAAGGTTGTGTAAAGTACTGGTTTACTGGCCACATTAGAAATGTTGCATAGGAAAATAATAAGGACAAAAAATAGAAGAAGAAATTACTATTGGAGAAGAACAAAGAGGGTTCAAGCAGGTCACTCATATATCTATATCATTTCCAACTTTAAGCAGATCTTTGAAAAAAGAAAATTAAAAAATTGGGAAACTCATATCGATGGACGTAGAAATGGTTTTCGACACAGTACCCATTAAAAGACTATGTAAATACTGGGAACACAGAAATAAAAAAAATGCATTCATACTTTTAGAGCAATGAGTCAATGAAATGTTATTCCGAAATAGATAGGGTGAATCAAATTCATGGCTCACCATTAGGATTTATGTATCGGTGAGAGATACAGTGTAGGTAAAATGGCGATTGTTATTTTTCCTAGCTCATTCAATCAAAGTTCAATATGGCGTACATAACAAATAAGAAAGTAGGTACGGTGCTAAGTGAACGGGAACCGTCCATTTCCAACCGTTTAGGCTAGAGAAAATGACAACGAAATTTGATATTTTCAGTTTTTCGGTGATATCGCTGTTATTTTCTAAGATTTTTCAAAAATTTCAAATACTTTTTTTATTTAAAAAAACAGCCAACTCTGCCTCCATTTAACCTACACGTTATCCTCCAGCAAAGAGTGGATCAACGAGAGGCAATTGATCTATATGAAATCTAAACCTCTCAGACTTCTTTTCTGTTAAACAATCCGATAGACCATTGGGAATCACAGTACTCCATTTCAAAAATGCGCAAAAAAATATTTGGTACAAGATAGTGATTCCAATTAAACTTGGAGATGACGTAACACAGAAATTGGTCAAACGACGGTGCGTACAAGTAACTCAAGGAAAAGATCGGCCCCTTCTCAGAGTAACTGTGCGAACGCAAACATTTCAGCAGTCAAAGTGAAATGAGTGGGATTGAAAAACCGAGAGAGAGTATTACAGTATAATTGACAGAGGAGGGCACTTATATACAATAAATAAAAAGCCAAAAGGAGTGTGTGTCTCTTAAGGGGTAACAAAAACTTTGTCATAGCATAGGAAAAATCGTTAGCAAGCATTTCTTAACTATGACTATAAAATTTCGAAAACTCTGCAAACTTATCTGGTTAAGTAACCCTCGTTTCAAAATAAAACACTGAACTATTAAAGGTCAGTAAGTTATCAAAATTAGTTAAGGCGAACGTTTTTGCTACAGTGTGAACAGAACAGAGTGCGTAAATGCAATGCAATTCTTCTGGTTGTTAGTAATTTTTGGATTCAGTTCTTGCACCTCCGGATGGCCAATTTCCGAATCGAGCAATCACAGTATACGTAAGTACCTACTTGTGGCATCCGAACTCGAGTTGCATCACAGATTATTTTTTGTAGCTCACGAAGGGCATTGCTTTAGCTTACGCCCCGGTGTTGGTTCAATGAAAAAGGGCGAGTTTAAGACTCTATCACACGTGTGTATTCTGGCAATGTGTGATGATGATAAAGATGGTACAATCTACTATAACGCGTGAGTAATGCACGTTTTGCAGTTACTCATGATATTGACAATTTCATTTTAGTTGCTATAGAAAACCTTTACCACCATACTGCGTTTCTCTAAAAGGAGAATCTTCGAAACCTTACCCTCAATGCTGCCCTTACGTAAATTGTAAATCACTATTTTGATTTGATATTATAATTAATTGGACGACAAGAATGTACCGAGTAAGTTGGAGTACTCATGGCTACATTTTATGGAGATCCAAAACGCAAATCATTCCCCATAAAACTTTAATTGTTGTAAAATTCAAATTTTGCGTTTTGGATCTCCATTAACGATTGACTCCATTGTGAGAAAACTAAGATCAAGATGGACCTCAACAATTAGGCTACATTTATAGATAAATATTCGTCGATGAGCAAGAAATGTTAATGTTAATAGTCGCCGGATCTGTACCAGTTGTAGGTTATACGAGAAAACTTTAGTATTATACTACCTACTTATATAGCAGTTGTAGAAGTATAGATATAAATTTACACTGAACATTGCACTATATAGTGTGTTCTATCTACAATAGACCATTTTTAAACCTTTTTATTATTGCAGCTGCGAGGCGCAAAAGATTAGCAATATGAATCCTTTCAAGGCAGTAACATTTCTTTAGTGGAATACCCTATAGTCTATACATTCTGATATATTTTGAAAAAAAATTAAATTCTGGACCATTAACCATTAATTAGCGTCACTGTAAATTATACATTCTGGATAAAAAATGGCAAAGAAACTTGTGAAAACTAAGTCTACAAGCGAAAGAATTACCTACAATCACCGTGTTGGAGTGTTGCTTTCAATCGGTACAAAAAAATCCTCCAACTCCAAGAAATGTATATTGCAATTTGAGCAAGAGTGTATAATTTAAAAATTGCTTATGGAAATAAATGCAATTAAATTTGGTTCGTAAATCTAGTTTTTGTGGTCTGTAGAGTGACGAATAATGGGGTAACAGTCTCATTTATTTTGATACGTAGTAACCCTGAAATTCTGCGTGACATTTCAGTATTTTGTTTTTTTGTGTGGGTCATACTGGGTATGCCATTTAAAAAAGGCACTTTCTTGAATATCTAAACAACCTGATAATCAATGACTTGATCATTACTATACATACAGGGCGACACAATGAAAACGAAACAGGTTGAATAACTCAAAATTTAGAAAAAAATCAAAAACATGTCGATTTTGGTTGGTGGGAGGACCACTTTTACTTAAAAATTTAAACTCCTAGCGTCAACTCCCTAAGCAGCCCTTTAATAATTATTTTAATTGAACATTGGGTCGAGTGGCACATCATTAGAAAGGGCTCTTCATTTCCTACACGTCTATGGTGTAGTTTTCAAATTTGAGAAATCAACACAATAAAACCTCCTAATAACTCTCAAACATTTACGGCCGGTATTATAGGGCCATATTGTCAGCTAACGATGTTGATGATATGCCTTTTGAGATACAACACAGGGGTCAATAAAGAAGACTGACAACAAGAATTAAAGTTTGAGTTGAAAACGAAGATTTGATAATGAAAACTTAACCGCGCGATGGATTCCTAGACTCGTCTCACCAGAACATAACGTGTAATGCACGAAATTAGTCAGCCAAATTTGGATGCTTTAAAACAAGATATCGATATTTTTCTAAAAATTATCACTGGTGATCAAATCCCATATATAACTGAGATCCTCCAAAAGAACACAAGTCGATGTGGTGAGTGCATTAAGCATCTCCACTACCAAAAATAAGCAAAAATGCAGTGTACAGCGGGGAAATTGATGGCAACAGTTTTCCGGGCTTCCAAGAGTTAAGTTGAAGAAACAATTAAACAAGGGAAAAGAATTGCTTCTGATGATGGCCTGAAAGTTGCTCTTACTTATTATTTTGAAGAGCTACCAAAATAATGGTTTGAAGATATCTATTCGTTTGTAGCAATATTGACTAAGTTTATCTGACTTTCTTTGGTATCTTAATCCAAAAGACGCGCTATCTGAATAGATACGGTGAACTACTTCTTGCAATAAGTACGTATGACGAAAGCAGGATGTTATTGTTTTCGTAATGTAATCTTGACTTGAGGAAATTGGCTACGTACTAACTTGATATGATGTAGCTCATTGCTTATCTAAATCTAAAAGATTGTATTGATTTATAAGATACTTTGATATGTATTGCGTGGTGGCTTCGGCGACCAAACAAATTTGAAGAAAGAATTGATTAAGCAACCCAAAACTGAAATTTGATTATGCTTCATAGGCAAAGTTTGGAAAATATCCCAAAACAAAAGAGAGGTATCGTTAGCAACTTTAAGCTTATATCACTGGAGCGGGATTCAACTCGCTATAGCACTAATACCCTCATCATCCATTATAAGGCATACCTACCTACTTGCATAATTGCCCTTATACAATAAAGAGCTTCCACTGAATGTCTACTTATTGTATGTGCAAATACCAAGAATGTTACGCATAATCGCCGACCTCCGACCCCCAGAGATAGCACCAACAAGTACGTTTATACTTAGTTTACTGACACCATGCGCTCTTTGACGTTTACCATAATCGTAATTTCCATTTTTGGACGCATCTACCCTTGGACTGCAATTGAGCAGACGGATAATGCCCAAAGTGCGTCGATGGGGTACTTCTGACAACATTTCTCCCTACTAAATCCTCGCTTTTACTAGGCCACAAAGAATACTGCTACAGTAACATTAAAGGCGTCGGTGATATGAAAAAAGGAGAAGTAAAAATGAAGTTTGGGGAGTGCGTAAAAGTTGAGTGTACTGAAGGGGGACTTATGGTACACACCGGGTAAGAAATAATCGCAAACACGCTCATGAATCATGATTGCAGTGCTGTTTCAGATGTGATCCCGTAAATACGGATTGCAAAACACCAGATTTGACAAAATTTTATCCAGACTGTTGTCCTGAAAAGTTATGTGGAGCGCAATGAACATAATTTTTCTGTAGAAGTACTACTTTCGTCGATGGAATCTGTTGGAGAAAAGTTAAAAAACAGTACTTCCACTTACCATGATTACAGTTACGGCCCTTACCTTTTAGAGTTAATAATTTAAGAATTGTTTTGCATTGCAGTACAGTGTGTAACAAATACTCTTTCGAAACTAGATCTAAAGTAACCTTTTGACGCAGTAGTTTGGCACTATTTAACTAATAATAACCGCGTTTTGCAATTACTGGAAAAAAATTGGCAAATAGATCGTTTCTGTGTAACTAATGCTTTGTTCATCATCTACCGACTATCCTTTCTCGAGGTCGAGATATTTGCATTTGAAGTTTTGAACCAATCTACGGTTATCGGTTATGAATGACTCATCCAAACACTACACATTTTCCTACCGACACAGCTTTCTTACACCAGGAAGTAGCAAAGAGCTTACCTTGCTATTAAACGGAGCGTCAGACATTTCTATACAAGAAAAAGCAAAACCTGTAAATACGGGCGGTAATACGGTTGCTAAAATGACAATGACATCTACTTAGACTTTTTTTTCAAAACCATTTTAGAAAATCTTAAATAAAACGAAAAGCATCACAGGGTATAGGGAATAGGGATAGGTAGGGAATATCGATGCAGAATTTGAAAGTGCAAAAAAATAAAGCAGGTTTCATTTGAAAAAATCAACTTTTTAAGGTTTGAAGTTATCAAACTTGAACATTAGTTTTAAAACACCCTATAGAAGGGCGATCAAAATTTAAATCGTTCGCATGTAGTATCACGTCACTATTGTTGATTTCGGAAGACTTTTAAATGCAATTCAACGGAACCATATGTACAGGGCGCTAAAGGAAAGCAGTCAAACGTCAAAAATTTTGAAAAATCTTGAAAACCTTTGATGCTAGGTATAGGGAAATGTGGTATCAAACGACGTAGATTTGGTACGTGATGGTTCTGTTAAATCAAAGCGCACTAATAATTCAAAATGCTACAATAGCTGCGCAAATTTTCATTTCACTCACCTCTTTACAAAAATCGTTCATTTTTGATAGGGATGTCATTACAAAATACCCTTATTTTTCAGTGTAGCATGGGCGAAAAGAATAATAAGGTATTGTGATTTAAACGCATTGCACAAGTCAAAGTAATTGAGAAAGTGATACAATTTATGTGCATGCATGGTGTAAATTACAATAGAAACTACAAACTTAAAGTTGTGCAATAAACCGGTGTTAATTACTGCGCACTATTCTTGTATGACTAAAATTGGTTAGGTGATACTGATTGCTAATACGTCCCTGCATTGAAACAGAATGAGATACAGATTGCACTTTATTTGATGTAAAGCTTAAAACACACTTACAGTGACATTATAGCGTTGAAGGGCTCTTATGACAGATAGGGGCTGTAGAAATGTTGAAGAGATGTCACCAACCACTGCACGTGACTGTTTGCATGCTTGTTTATTTAAACTTAAGCTTCTTATTGCAACTTTAATAAAGTTTAATAGTGTTTGTTGTTGCCAAATAGAAGGAGTGTTTGTTCTATAAAGCTTAACTTGTAAGCATTATCTCCAACTCCAGAAAGGTTCGGTGTAAGGAGCGCGCCTCCGGAAAATAAATCGAACCGAACTAAACTGACAATTATAAAATCAAGGGTTTATACTTTATAAAGTAACACATAACAACCTATGAAGCACTTAAGAGTACTGCAAATCCATCTATATTATACAGGGTCATGAATATGGAGTGTAAAAATTAAAATACACTAGGCATAAGCCGCGAACAAAAGCTGAAGAGCTTTCGAAAGAGGCACAGCTGCAACCATGAAGGGCGGAAAAGCTGCGGGCAGTCGATTTAATTTATCCTAAATTTGATTTGGATGCAAACTGCGCTATCAGGTGGAGCTTTGTTTTTTGATTGCGTTTATTGTTCAGCTGCAAATATTGAACCGAATCAGTTTCAATCCGCATTAAATAAATACGAGCCATCGTACAACTCTCATATTGCACGATAGACGACCAGCCAAAGGTATCACGTCGATCCAATAAATGTCTCAACAATTCGAATATTGCATAGGTTAGATATAAAACGGGGTGACAAATTTTATCGGTAGGTATTATCGCCCTCGTCAATAGCGCCCCCCGTTTATAACACTTTACGACATTCCAAAGCCACGCGGTCTATTTGCAGAAAATATTTCGAGTTATTTTCATTTCATTCTTTTGACAGTATGTCTTAAATTAAATTTAAATTAAATTGCAATGAATAACAAACGCTGATGTCGATGATAAAAATAATACATTTCTATGGGAATTGTTGATCATATAATTTTGCGTCTGGAATTTGCAGAAGAGGTAAAACAATAAAATTCCAGTACGGCATATTATTATGTAAGAGCGCTTGCCGTTTTTCTTGTCCTATTTGAAAGAGAATGTGTTAAATTAAAATTATGTACAGTCGTGTGGAGACTGTGTTCAGGAATTAATAGAGAACAAGCCGTTTCTTGGTTATTATATAACTCTGAATTTTGAAATAATGAAAACGTTAATAAACTCGCTTGTAAAAGGTCGTAAATTCAAGAATTTGATATTAAAATTATAAAAGTGGGTTTCCGATTGTTACTGTTTTGCAATGTATACCTTAATTAAACCTTTGCTTTGAAATTTGAGATGGAGTTGTTTGAATGACACCTACATATACAGGGTCGCTGATAAGTCTGGAAAAGGTCGATTATCAAAATAAGTTTTATACAAAAGATTTGAAGGTCTTTAATGTCTACTAGGCAGGTAGTAATTTTAATTTTACACCCTGTATATTATTCGATTTTGATTCTTCTCTCAATTTTGAGCATAAGTTGTAAGAAGCATAATGTACCCAAATGCAGTCGTTTTCGAGTTATCCAGTTTTCAAAATAAAACGTATTGCTTTAAAATCTATTCAATAAAGAACAATAATTAATGACATCACGAATTTCTTTTGAAAACACTCTGTGGTTCTCAAAGAACTGTTTGTGAAGTTTGTTATGATTATTTGCAATCATTAATTATTATTTTTCGTTCAATTATTTTTAATTTAATTTTAAAATAAGAGCGTTTATTTTCAAAACTCGATAACCCGGAAACGATTGAATTCATGTACATTATCCTTATTTGTGTCACAATTCTACGTATGTATTATATTCATAATGGAGATTCAAAACGCAAACCATTAACTATTGACCCCATTGTGAGAAAACTAAGAGCAAGATGGACTTCAACAATTATATTCATAAAATGAGTTTGCTAATAAAACCTCGATCCTTTTCACAAAAACACGCCTAAACTTTTCAACTTATTTTCAAAACGCGCCTAAAATAGTATATATATTAAAAGACAAGTGTTACAATGCGACCTATTGTAATACGACTATCTTGTGGTACCCACGAGTGTCCCCAAGATAGGAGTATTACAATAAAGCATTGTAACACGCGTTTTTCATACTATTTTTTCTATTTCGGTGCTTTAATTTAATAAAAAAAATCATAATCAGAAGCTATAGGGAACATTAGAACTAACATGTGTTATGTTGGGAACACTTTTTATGCCGTTAAGTTTTAGGTTGGCACCGTAGTAAGACTGACATTTTGAAGTTCAAACATGGAAGTATTGTACCTACTTGTACTAACTAGTAACTGCCAACTTAAGAGATGCAGATGAGTTACCAAAAAAAACGACTATAATCACTGTCTTTGCGTACAACTAGTTGTACAAAATCATCATTGTGACACTGAAATAGAAACACAAATTTTTTTTCTCTCGTTTCAGATAATTCATGATTTTTTTTGCATAAATAAAATCTCCGATCTTAAAAGTGATTCTTTTCGATACTATAAACAAGGGCCGTAACGATACAAGTGCAGCGCAGTACAGCGTGATTAACCCCTGGAATTATTAACCCCGACTCCACTCCCACCCCCAATACTCACACAAAATTCAGTTTATGGTTTTTTTATGGGAGGGGGAGTCAAGTAATTAATTAGAATTTGTTGTAAAATAAAACTTTACCCCAAAAAACATATGTAAAACTGTGATCAATTTCTCTGTACCGTAGTCTTACCTTAAAAGCCCTCAAAGACAATGCGCATTTAATTGTTACACTTGTCTGACACGTAGTTCGGCCCCGGGTTATTAATGGGCTAACTGGCGCCGGGGGGGGGGGGCAGCTTGAGTACGGGGGCGCCGAGCTAAATGTAGTCACGGATTTCGGTTGATCTGCTGTTGTAGACGATTCATACTTTCAGTATTAAGTATTAAGAATTCATCGAAATGTTAATTTGGGAATTTTAAGTTTAATTTTTTGAAATGCCTTTTCCTGCCTGAGCTTATGGTGCCGTTAGCTTGTATTTCTGCGGATGCCAAATGCCATAATTCTAATATCCAATCAAGTCTTCGGGTGAAGCATGTGAATTAACAATATGCAATTTTGAGAACTTTTTTATACACTGTGTCCAAAATAAGGGTGTCTTCATGGAGATTTCCGAAACCATACAAGGTAGGATGAGGGTCAAATTAGAGAAAAGGTGCGCCATTAAGGTTATTATCATGCAAAAAACAGAAAAATCCTATAACTTCCGAAGATATGCCAGAAAAATGGAAATTTGCCCATTTCTGTTTTAATTTCGTTAAGATAAAAAAAATAAAAATCCATTCTTATAGGCACTTTTTAAGATCTACAAGACAGCGAGCGTTGAGAGATTTTCAATATAACGTTTCGTTTCGGGGAAACATCATGATTCATGACCCTTTATTTTTTTTATATGGCCCGTAAAAAATACACACTGTATTGAGTAGCATTTTTTAATGAACACAACTATATACGGCACTTTTTTTTTTTTTTTTTTTTTTTTTTTTTTTTTTTTTGAGTTGGATCCATCGTTCTTCGAAATGAGGGTTGAAATATATTATGTTATCAAAAATCTCTAAACCTTCCCCATATAGTTTTATTCGTTGAAGTACTTCAACGAATAAAACTATATGGGGAAGGTTTAGAGATTTTTGATAACATAATATATATACGGCACTTAAAAAAAAACAAACATTGGTTGGTTTCAACAGGATGGAAACCCGCGCACAACGCCCTAATCGTGCGAGAATACCTATCCGACAAATTTTTCATTTTAGAGAAACAACATCTTGGCTTGTACACAGTGTATAATTCGTTTCCGTTGTGTTCCTGCTATTTTAGAAATTTCCATTCGGAAGGTAGGTACAAGGTCTTCACGAGATGTACAGGGT